TATATTTTACTAAAGTGCAAAGATACTCAAAAAATACATCAGTTCATTGACTGGCTGAATGGATAAACAGAATGTAGTATATATACAATGTGGAATATTATTCAGCCAGGAAAAGGAGTGAAATTTGACATAGGTTACAATGCAGATAGACCTACAGAATATTTTTGCAGTGAAATAAGCCAGTCACAAAAGACAGATCTTTATGTTTTGTCTTAGACAAAGTTCCTAGAATAGTTATAGCCATAGAGACAGAAAGTAGAATGGTAGTTGACAAAGGTTAGGGGGAAAGTTGTGGGAGGCTGTTTAATGGATATAGAAATTTAGTTTGGGAATATGAAAAAGTCCCAGAGATGGATGGTGATGATGGTTACACAACAATGTGAATGTACTTAATACCAATGTACACATAAAAGTGATGATACATTTTATATTATATGTATTTTTACCATAATAAAAATGTAAAAACTGAAGTGTCCCAAGCACCACATTGGGAAGTCTGTTCCACAAGGAACAAGAATGTTTGTTCTTCATGGCTACACCCCAGGTATACCTGGTTCATCACAAGGGCTCCATGAAAATTGTGACTGTAAGCTCCAACCTGCATCTTCTAGCTTATAAATTCTACTAGTATTCAGATTGGGTCAAAAGCCCTCTCCTCCAGGAAGCCTGCCAGGAATGACAGGCCTAGTCTACATTACTTTCAGATGAAATACACAACTGGAACCTGGCTTTCTTCGATTATATGAGACTGTGGGTGTTGAGTGGAAGAAATGGGCTGGCAAGGGAGTGATATCCTCTGGGAATGGTGCTCTGGGAATTGGTATCCTCTGGGAACTGGTATCAGATTAGGCACTGGAAATACAGCAGGGTTATGCTGACCCACAGGATACAGGAGGTGGCTTCCTCCTTTCCTCTCTTCATCAGGAAAGAGCATTCCAGTTAGAGGAAACAGCATGAGAAAAAAAAAAACAACTAAGAGATAGATGGTTTTAGGAACACTGAACCAGAGCATTGGGTGTGTGTGGGGTGGGGGGTAAAGGGAGATTGGGACAGGGCCAGCTCACAGAGAGCCTGAGCATCAGGCTGGGCCGCTTAGCCTGGGCCTTGGGAGAGGGAAGCCTTAAGAAGACTTCAGTTAGCAGAGGGAGCCAGCTGGCTGTCTCTTTGGGAAGATGGGCCTGAGAAGTGCTAGGCAGAAGTCTGGGTACCAAAAGTGTCTCCTTTCTTTTCTCTGAGGTCCTGAAGGGTGGAAACTAGAGAGTTAATCCAATCAGTTGTTCGCTGGGCGTTTATGAGCATCTGGTGAGAGCAGATGACTCTTGGAAAGAGGGAGTGGAGAGGAAAGGCCAGAATGATGGAGGTAACCTGTTCCCATGAGGGAAAAATGAGCTTTAGCATTAGCCCTTCTGCATTCAAGTCCATGATCCTGGTGTGAAACTAACTGGCTCTATTGCCTCCTCCTGAAGGCCCGGCAGCTGGTCTCTTGCACCTGTGGCCACAGTATGGATGAGACAGTGTTGCTTTGCTGGCCCAGGGGAACTGCAGGGGCTAGGCTTGTCGCCTGCTTCCTCTCACGCCTCTGAACACTGACTGCTTCCCTCCCCAGCCCAGAGCTGCACCATAATCTTCATAGGCCTCCTCTTCACAAGATTCTGGCTCATCAGTGTTCTGTACTCAGCCTGGTGGTACCTTGACCGGGACACACCCAGCAAGGGGGGCAGAAGCTGGACAGCTGGAAGGCGTAACTGCATTTGGAATTACATGAGGGATTATTTCCCTATATCGGTGAGTGCGGGCACTGACGGGGATGTAGCCAGGGCCATGGCACCCCACCTCTAGGAGCTCTGTGTGATTGAGAGGGAGTCTGAGTTGGGAGGCAGGAACCATGATTCCAGAGTCTGGGGATGAGTCCAGATTCTTTTCAGTCCAAGAAAAGACATTGTGGGGCCAATATGAGGAGTAGTGGATGTACAGTATTTGGGGTGGGGGAGTCTCTGTAGGACATTGAATGTGGCATGCATTTTATATAGGTGTAAACTCTTCGGCAGCCCAGGCTTCGGGTGAAAGTAATAAATTGGTAAGTCCCAAAGTACCATCTAGTCACAGCTTAGACTCCCATGAGGACACTGACAGCCAGAGAGGTGACAGGGGTGTGAACAAGGCAGCACAGCAAGTTCCTTTACTGGTTTTAAGGTCTCTGTGTTAACTATGGTCAAGGGGCCGGGGAGGAAGCTGAACTAACACTGGTGTCCTTCCGCAAAGCCTCATGCACCCCGAACCTCTGCTTCCCGTCTCCGGTAAGCGCACTGATACACACCTCTCTTCTGCCTCAGGCCACCTCATGGCCATGGGGACTCTTGACCCAGGGCCCAAAGATCAGTCCTGAGTGAAGCGGACCCCTGATTTGTGTGAAGCTGTGCTTCGTCTCCTCTGCTCATCCTAGACTGCATACACGCTTGGATGTAAGCTGCTGGGCAGGGTTGGCTGGGCAGACAGGAACAGGGAAGGCAGAGGGAGACGCGAGCCAGGCAGGCCCTCCTCGGGAAACAGGAGGGAAGGGAGCTCTGAAGGACGGCCTCTGGATCTGGAGACTCTTGATAGGCGCCAGTGCCAGCCTGCCACACATCTGCTGTGTGACCTTTCGGGAGTCTCTGAGCCTCGGTTTCCTCCTATGTCAAGGAAGGGATGTAAACGCCCAGTGCCGGGTTCTGTGGCTTCCATGAGCTACCGGGTAAGGCCCTTGTAGGCCTCAGGAAGTGAGTAGCCGGCGTTGAGTGATTCAGGGGGACTTGACTCAGCTCTGGCAGGACACTGATAACTGCTGTTCTGACCTTCACACTTGCTGGCATTTCCCAACCTTCCACCTCTCCCTGCCCTTCCAGGAATTTGGTCCCCAGCTGGTACAGGGGGAGGAGAGATTGAAAGAAGTAGTGCCACAGAGGTTAAACAAATTGCCTGAGCGGTGGGCACTCAACAGAAGGAGCCAGGGTCCCTAACTCCCTTCTTTCTGGGAGTCCTGAGGCCCAGAAGTTCTAGCAAAGGTCAGGCAGCAACGGTGATGCAGAACCCCAGTGCATCTGGGCGAACAAGTCACCTGGACAAAGGGCAGGACTGGGAGGGTACAGGGCAGAGGGCAAGGGCTGGGCTCATGGTTGGGAGAGCAGCTGGTGGGGACTTTCAAGCTCCTGAGGGCTGATAGGTGTTGAAGGCAGAACAGGTGGCAGTACTGAGCAAGCCTGAGGGGCCCACGGGGAGGAGGCAGTTTTCTTCAACCTTTGTAGATGCGTCCCCCTCAGGGCAGCCTCTCTGGAGGCCTGCTGGCTCCAGGAGGAGCTGGTTGGCTCCCAGGCAGCATCCCCCAGCCCTGCTCAAAACTGCTGAGCTTTGGGATTCTGGAATCCCTCCCTTCCTTCTTTTCCTAGTCTCTCGCTTCTATGTTGGGGAAGTGGCCTGGGAGTGTATGTGACATCAGCTTCTATGCCAAAGGTGACTGTGTGTAGGTTCCAGCCTCTGGGAGAGCTTTTTGGTTCTGCGGATGCTGGCTTTGTGGTTTCACCTCCCACGGTGGCCTGAATCCTGAATTCACCAGGGAAAGGGAGGTGATGTGCAAAATGAAATGCACAAGCACAGGCCCAGAAGCTTGCTGCACTGAGCTCTTTAAGCGGCAGGCTTGATGCGCATTGGGTATGACTAAAGCAGAAGGGTATGCCTGGGGGTGAAACTGGAATGGCTTTCAGGGACAAAGCAATGAGCAGGTAAAGGTCATTCCACAGAATGAGGTTGCTTAAACTAAATGTTCTCCAGCAGCTGACTCCTGGTCAGTCAAGGACCTCCAAAGGCTAACAGCTGGCGCACTTTGCACTTGAAACAGAGGTGGCCCTGTACCCATCCAGTCCATCACCCTTCTGTTCCTCCCCGCTAGGGACATCTCAATCTTGACAGTACGGGCACTCATAGAACACTGCACCGATTTGCAGAAATGCTCTGTGTTTTGGGATTATTGTCCACCGTGGGTGTGTTGCATTACCACCTGCGGACGGCAGATAGTACCACCAAGTGGCCAGTAGAGAGTGAGATGGCATGCATTTCGTTGTCCTGCCTAGGCCAGCAGCTTGCAGGGCTAAGGTTGTGCTTGTAGAGTCCCCGCCCCCCACCTCCCAGGAGGCCCTGTCAGCATCCACACCTGTGTAGCACTTGCAGCATCCCAGCTGCAAGCATCTTGGGGGTGGGGAGTACCAGCTGTGCTGCAGCTCCCCCACCTATAAAAGCCTCCGCTCTCAAATACATGTGGATTTCTGAGCTTCTTTCGGTTCTTACTGTGATTTCGTGAACTAGCACCAAATGGTGGAATTTAAAGCAAAAGTAGGAAACTGTTTCTGGGCATTGGAGCTTCCTAAGCTCATCCTATCAGCTTCCAAAAGAGCTAATTTTGGAGAATCAGGCGATGTGTCACGTAGGAGGAGCTGTCTCTGCTTCATGGTGAGGACCAGTCTGGGAGCTGAGTTTGCCCAAGAAAATGGCATCGTCTCAGAGCAAACACTGTCTACATGGGCCAAAAGCTGAGGAGGGGCGAAGTACTGTGGCCAGAGCAGTGTCCTGGCATCGGGAAATGCTGCAGATTCAGGGCAGTGCAGGACACCTCCGTGACCAGCCCCCACGGCCACCTACGAAGAGCCCTGGTCCATCTGCAGCCCTGCAGGCATGTCAGGGGACGCCATGCCCAACCCCCAGCACCCTGGGCTAGCTTGAGTCAGGTGGCAGGTGGCTGCCCACCTGCCAATGCCTGCTTCCTCCCACCAGGGTTCCTCCCAGGACTCCTACCTCTGCCACCGGCAGAGGGCGCTGTCCCAGAGTGCATCTGTCTTCTCCCTGTAGGGCAGCTTTGCACCAGGTAGGGACACCCCTTCCCTATTCACGGCCATCACCCTTCCTGCTACTTCCCCTCCCAGCCAGGTAGCTGGAGCGGAGGATTTCTGCCTTTGGGTACTAGGAATGGTACCATGGGCAATTTTGGCTGGATGATTATTTATGTAAGTGGGCAGGACTCTGTTCCCATCCCTGACCGCCAACTAGAATTGTCAAATGCATCTTGACAGCAAAATATTAAAATGTTTTTTAAAAAAAACATTTTAGAACTGAGGGAACATCTCTCTGAGTCTGTGCGAGTCTGTTGAATGAGCACATGACACACACACACTTTCCTGAAACTGAAAGGTTCACAGAGTGGTGATTCTCATACTTCAATATGAATCCTCTGGGAAATTTGTCACATATCCGATGCTCCAAGCCAGCACCATATCTACCAAATCAGATTCTGCTTGTGTTTTTAAACTTGCTGAGCCGTGGTAGAGGTCCATAAATAGGCCATGAACAAGTTCTCCAGGGTCAGGCCGGGAGCTAATGCCCAAATCACCTTCCTCAAATAGAGGAAGCCTGGGAGCTCTGAATCTTCCAAGTTTGACTTAGAAAGGAAATGACTTTGAAATAGTCCTGCAGATTGCTTTCAAATATCCACTCCCTTGTCTAGACTCCCCCCTCACTGGAACGTTTCCCTCTACACCAAGGCTCTATTTTATAAAGAAGCTAATCGTTCATTTATTTAATCATCTGCTCGCTGATTTTATTCATCTCATTCATTTATTCATTCATGCCCATTTAGGATAGGCAATATACGGTGATGACGGGTGTGTGGGGGGAGTAAACATTGATTTACAATTAACAATAATGTAAATATGGGGCCCTCCCTGGTGGCACAATGGTTGGGGCACAGCACTACAAGCCAGCCACAGCCAATTCAGTGCGAGTACGATCCCCGGCCCAGGAGGTGACCCACATGGCACAGCAGACTGCTCCTGACCTGCCCACAGCCTGTTCTGCTCCCCACTCTGTCTCTGGTGAATCCTTTCACCCAGCCTGCACCTGTGGCCTGTACCCCAGTTCTGCATAAATAAATGAATCTTAAAAAAATGAACAGTAATATAAATAGATATAGATAAATAAAATTTACAGAAAAGGTAGACAATGTGCTCTTGTTCAGCATGCAGAGGGTTTGTGTGGACGAACCCACCATATTGCCCATTCCATCTCCCCAGTTCACATTCCCGGAGACAGGCAACCTGGTGTTTGCATGCAAACGTGTTCTCCCCTTGGTGCTGTCAGCGATATGCGACACGTTGTCCAACCTGGCTTTGTCCCTTAATGGGGGGGTCCCTTTCCCCATCAGGCCAGGAGCAGCCATGTCACGCTTTCTGTATCCACAGTGGACCGTTGTACCTCTATTTCATAACTTGTCTAAACAGGCCTTGCGGATGGACATTTGAGAAGATGCTAAACTAGATTTTTTTATATTATCAGAAAATAAGCCACCAATTAATATATTAATAAAATAATACAATAAGAATAATTTTGTTCAGATTCCTCAGCCATGGAGCTGCTGGGTTAAAAGCTAAGCTGCATTTTGTGGTTTGGATAGACATCTCCAAATTGCCTCAATGGAGATTGTTCAAAATCATCTTCTCACTAGCTGAGAATGAGGATCTGTAAGTAAGTGTTTCAGTGCAGAGAGCCAGGTGTGGTTTTTATTTTGTTTTTTATATATATTTATTTTATGTAATAGTTTATTTTTGCATCATTTTGTGCATTTTTTCATCTCAGTTGCAATCCCCATGGGTTTCCCATCACTAGGTCACCCGTGTGCCATCACCAT